ACCATGCCCGGCTATTTTTTTATATTTTTTAGTAGAGACGGGGTTTCACCGTGTTAGCCAGGATGGTCTCGATCTCCTGACCTCGTGATCCACCCATCTTGGCCTCCCAAAGTGCTGGGATTACAGGCATGAGCCACCGCGCCCAGCCATGAACTTTTTCATACGCTGTAACTGAATTGCTAGTAGAGCACATAGATGAAATACTGCAGAGTAAGATTTCTGTTTTTTGTTTCATTTTAAACAGATCTCCCACAAACAAATTTTCGTCGTTTACCTTTTGACCACTGCAGGTAAGAGTTTTGTGAGTTTACCTTTCCCTTGGAATTGTTCTCTGATGCTCTGATAGTGAATCTGCCCCTTGTGGATGTGGGGTTATGCGTAAAAGTGTGCTTTGAAGATGTGGCTCCTCAGTTCACGTTGGGAGAAGATGCGAAGTCCTTGTCATGATGGTAGGAGCTTACCTTGGTGTTGGATCCTGCTCTGGTCCTTCACCAGGGGTGGCACAACCACTACTGTAGTTGGAGGAGAAGGTTGGTGAGAGAGGGAAGTGGCCAGGCTGCCCAGAGAGGGCTCCCTGGGACAGCATCTCAGGAGGTCACCGTGCCAGGCTCAGCCAGCCCACATCCTGACCAGGGTGCCTGGCAACTCACCAGTAATGACTCTGTCCTTTTTCAGTCTCTCTCTGCAGCCCTTCGTCTACCCAGTCTGTACTCCAGATGGCGTCGTCTTTGATTTGCTGTGAGTTTTTCCTTGAATTTCGATCTAACAAATGTGAGATTCTCAACACCCATTAAGGAAGGGGACCCTTGGGTAGGGCTCTTGGGGACACAGAAGTAACAGCTAGGGCCTTGGGGACGTGGCAGCAGTGCTGCTGTGACCCCTAGGCAGGCAGCTCTAGTTGTCAGGTGCTACTGTCACTGCCTGGAATGGGGTAGACCACCCCACACCCCTCCATGTGGGGGTCCTAGTGTTCTAATTGGACACAGTGATCTGTTTTAGAATGGTAATGAACTGCATATTTTTTACTTTATGAAAGCAGAGCCATAATTATGGCATGTACCTTCTGTGTGCAGTATTTGGAAGCATTATGCCCAGTTTTGCGTTCCAGCATATGCTTCTGTAATTTTTTTCATGTTTCAGTCCCTTTTTTTTTTTTTTTAAGACGGAGTCTCACTGTGTCACCCAGGCCAGGCTGGAGTGCGATGGCACGGTCTTGGCTCATTGCAACCTCTGCCTCCCGGGTTCAAGCGATTCTCCTGCCTCAGCCTCCTGAGTAGCTGGGATTACAGGTGTGTGACACCA